TTACTGCTGTGGACTGGGATGTGGGGATGCTGTCCCGCACATGTGCCCGTGCACCCTTGGCCAGACTGCCTCACCCTCCCTGGTGCTTTGTGGGTGCACAGGGCCCTCCACACAAGCACAATCCTCTGTGTAAACTCAGGATCGCTGCCAGGCTGGGTGGCAGGGAGGCCAACGATTGCTGTAGGAGAATTCCCTAAACAGTGTCTGTCTATTCACTCCTTCCTCTTGAGAAATTCCTCTTATTCAAGCCTGCTGCTCAACACCGTGGCCTGGCTTCTCCTGCAGCCCAACTCTCCAGCCAGACCGGTGACCATGGGGGTCAGGGCCCATTGTATGACACAACCCCGCCAGTGTCCACAGACTCTGAGGGAGCTCACAGCCCTTGTGTGTTTACTAGCAACTGGGTTCCTCTTGGTGCCACTCAGACCCTGTTTGGCTGGGGAGGGAGCAGTTGTCCCAGCTCTCTCCCAAGGACTCTGTGGCAAATCAGGCAATGGGCAGGAGCTGAGCCTGGGGCTGCAGCCCCCCTACCCCGAGCTGGTCCCTGGGACCCCACCATGTTGCAGCACTTCTCTCACTGAGTGGTTTTTTGGTTCCACCACAATCCTTGGTCCCCTATTTTCGCATATGCTGAGGTGTGTTGGTTGCTTGCTCCTCTACTCCATAGATTGGCCAGGATTCTCTCCCCTGTGCAGAGGGAAGCTGAATCTGCTCCTTCCTGCTCCTTGCTGCTTCCTGGAAAATGGCTCTGATGCCATTTTCCTTCCCTCTACCATTTTCCTAATAACAAGTGATATTAAACATCTTTTCTGTGCCTGGTGGCCATCGGTATATCTTCTTAGGAAAAATGTCTGTTTTTCCTAAGATCTTTGACCTTCAACACAGATCTTTTGACAACTCCTGTTTTCTTTTTTTATACCCACTTGAGGATATGTTTTATTGATTTTAAAGAGAGAGGGAAGGAGGAAGGGATCAAAGGAGGGAGAGAGTGGGAGGAGGGAGAGAGAAACTTTGATCAGTTGCCTACTGTATTTGCCCTGACCAGCAATCGAACCTGCAACCTTTTGTTGTACGGGACGGTGCTCCAACCAAGTAAACACCTGGCCAGGGGGATGTTCCTAATCAGGTTGTTCTGTAGTAGTTGAGTTTATAAATTCTCTAAATATCTTGGGTATTGACCCTTTATCAAAGTATCATTAGGAAATACCTTCTCCCATTTGGTTGGTTGCCTTTTTGCTTTGTTGATGCTTTCCTTTGCTGTGCAGAATGCTTTTAGTTTGGTATAGTCCTATTTGTTGAGTTTTGCTTTTGTTTCCTTTGTTAGTGGAATCAAATCCACAAAAATATTATGTCCAGACTTATGGACTTATGTCCAGAAGCTGAGACTTATATTTTTTTCTGTATATTTTGTTTTCAGGCCTTACATTCAAGTCTTTAATCCATTTTGAGTTAATTTTTCTGTATGGCATAAGAGGATAGTGTTCTAGTTTCATTCTTTTGCATGTGGTCATCCAATTTTTCCAAAACCAATTATTGAAGACACTTCCCTTTCTCCACTTTATATTCCTGGTACCTTTGTCATAAATTATTTCTCTGTATCATGTGGATTTATTTCTGGATCTCATTTTCATTTCATTGATTTTTTTTGTCTGTTTTCTGCCAGTGCCATATTGTTTTGATTGCTATACCATTGTAGTATAGTTTGCTATCAGAATGACACATCTGGCTTTGTTCTTTTTTCTCTGGATTGCTTTCGCTATTCAGGGTCTTTTGTGGTTCCATACAAGTTTAGCATTTTTTGTTTTATCTCTCTGAAAAGTGCCATTGAAATTTTGATAAAGATTGCATTGATTTTATAAATTACTTTAGGTAATGTGGATGTTTTAACAATGTTAATTCTTCCAGTCCATGAGCATGAACTATCTTTCGTTTCTTTTTGTCATTTCAGTTTCTTTCAACAATGTTTTATAGCTTTCAGTGTTCAGGTCTTTTACTTCCTCTGTGAAATTTATTCCTGGTGTTTTATTCTACTTATTGCAATTATAAATAGAGTTGTTTTCTTCATTTATCTCTCTGATAGTTTATTGTTAATATACAGAAACACAATAGTTTGTGTATATTGATTTTCTTTATCCTGCAAATATTACTGAATTTATTTATTAGTTCTAACCGGTTTTGGTAGAGTCTTTAGGGTTTTCTGTTGTATGTTGAACCAAAGTGGTTAGAGTGGCCATCCTTGTCCTATGCCTGAAAAGCTTTCAGCTTTTCACCATTCAGTATTATGGTAGCAGGCTTGTCATATATGGCCTTTATTATGTTGAGGTATGTTCCTACTATACTCACTTTGTTGAGAGTTTTTTTAATGATAAATGGATGTTGAATTTTGTCAAATGCTTTTTCTGCATCCATCGAGATATGATTTTTATCCTTCATTTTGTTGGTATGGTCAACACATTGATTTGCATATGGTGAACCATCCTTGCATCCCTGGAATAAATCTCACTTGATCATGATTATAACCTGCTAATATTTTGATTAAGATTTTTGTGCCTATGTTTATTAGGATATAGTCCTGTAATTTTGTTTTCTTTATGGTGTCCTTAAAGACCCATTTTGTTTTCTGGTGTCTTTATCTGGTTTTGGTGTCAGGGTAATGCTAGAGTATTCATAAAATGAGTTTGAAATTTCTTCCTCATTGTCTACCTTGTGAAAGAGTTTGAAAAGATTGGTATGCTTTGAATTTGTCTCAAAGTATATTTTTATTTCTCTTTTTATTTCTACATTGAACTATAAGTTCAGTAGCATGTTTTTTAATCTCCACATATTTTTGGATTTTCTAGTTTTCTCTTGTAATTGATTTCTAGTTTTATACTATTCTGGTTGGGAAATTTGCTTGATATGATTTCAGTCTTCTTAAATCTGTCTAAAATCTGTTAAACTTGTTTTGTGGCCTTATATATGAGCTATCCTTGAGAATGTTTTGTGTGCACTTAAAAAAATGTGTTTTCTATAGCTTTTAGGTAAAATGTTTTATATCTATCTTTTAAGTCCATTTGGCTTATTGTATCATTTAAGGCTAATATTTTCCTACTGAGTTTGTCTAGATGATCTACCCACTCAAGTAACTATGGTCTTGAAGTCCCCCAGTATTATAGTAATGCTGTCTATTTCTCCATTGAGGTCTGTTAATACCTGATTTACATATTTAGGTGTTCCTATACTGAGTGCACATGTATTTATGGTTGTTATATCTTCTTGATGTATTGATTGTTTTATCATTATATAATGCCCTTCTTTGTCTCTTATTTTTGGCTTGAAGTCTGCCTTATCTCATATAAGTGCAGCTACTCTGCTTTCTATGGTATATCTTTTTCCATCCCCTCAGTTTCAGTCCGTGGGTGTCCTTACTTCTGAAGTGAGTCTCTTATAGGCAGTATATACATGGTTAAATGCATTTAAAATTTCATACTAAATTCTTAACACTGATTTTCTCTGAAGAAAATAACAGAAATATTCGGGTGTGGATTATAAGAGGATCCTGAAGGAGTGCTGTACCTTTTTATTCTATTTGTTTCTACAGAATCTGAATTTATTGACAAAGAGATTTTTGCTTATAAATAAAAAATACATATCTAATGATAGACTAATACCAAGCAGGAGAGGATTAAAATGATATACTATAAACAACCTATGGTTATTCCACTAGTATCAAATATTTATGTGCATCATATTTATGATTTTATAAAATTAGCCATTTACTGAGTGTATCTCTCCCTAAGCTAAATATTTTGCATACCTTAAATCTACAAGTTATGGGGTGAAAGCAGTTATAATCTCCAGTTACATCTGAGCAACCTGAGGCTTAAAGAAATAGTCTGCCCAATTTATACTTAGTATGGGGCAGAGCAAGGCTTGAAAGTCCCGTGTTTATAATTAGTTAAATGTTAATGCTAATCCCTAATATTCATAAGAAGGGCAACATATAGAACTATCTTTAATGCAAGTTACTTGATAAACAGCCTTGTAAAATAGCAGTTTTCACCATCTTAATTCAGATGAAAACACTCTGGAAGTGACTTGTTCTAAATTACACGTGTAAGTGAACTAGAACACAAATTGCTCTGATTGTAAATGATAGGACTTTTCTAATTTCCACCAAGGATCCACAGTTTAAGAGATAGCTTGAAACACTGGAGACTACCCAAGAGAATGCTACCAAGAAACAATGACATGGAGGTCTAGCTAGAAAAGGAGGCTATTCCTTTAGGGGAAACATGAGAGCCATCTTCAGAAACATAAAATGTTAAATGGAAATAGATCTAGATTTATTCTATTGATTTTGAAAAGCAAAAGGAATCAAAGGGAAAAATTGTAAGAAATAGATTTTTATGAAGAAATCTTTTTGCATTACATAGATCTCCTAAAATGGAATGGACTTCCTCAAGAAGTAGTAAGCATCCCATCACTGGAAGATTCAAACAGAGGCTGGATAACTACATATAGGCATGCCTTGTAGGTACTGCAGGTTCTATTCCAGACCACCGCAGTAAAGTCTGGTTTGCTGTAAAGTGAGCTTCACAATCTTTTTGTTGGTGGAAGGTTTTGCCTTCAATTTGTAAAAAAAGGCAATATATGTAAAGCTCAATAAAGTGAGGTTTGTCTAAATCTGAAATCCTTTAGAAATGATTTATGTAGAAAATTGAACCACATGAGCTATGAGATCCCTTTGAGAATCTATGACTTTGAGATTTCTGTTACAAAGTTATTTTTACCTGTCATTTATAATTACATCTGCAGCAAAGCAATAAACAATATGAAATTAATTTTCCTGACATTACAAATTATACTGTTATGTATAAACTTATTCATGTTCCTCTCAGTATACATATTTACCTTTCACTCATCTGATGGCAGTTGTTTAAAGTAGACTTTGAGTATGCTAGTTTTGGTCATAGTGAGGTTTGTGGTGTCCTTTAGTAGAATACCTGTTGCTTCCTTACCTGTAGAACTTCCTTCCTGGTAGGCCAAGGGGATCGATGAATGCTCTTTCCAGGAGCATCAATTGGTCATTCATGATTCTCACTGCAATGGGACTTTGAGGGCAAGAAACAGATAATTATAACTCTTACCATGGACCGGTATTTTAAAATAATATTAAATAAGGATAAGGCTGATGTTCCCAGTTTGCAGAGCATAATTTGAATAGCAGTGATTTAGGGCTCAATGCTTATGAGTATAACCAGATTGCTTTTTAAAACAGTAGGGCTTCACATTTGAAACTTACTGCATTTGAAACTTACTTATTAACATCAACTTCTATAAGTCTTCTATGGAAATCAGAAGCAGCCTCTGAGAAGTTTTTCACAGCAGAAAATAAGGAGTCTTTCAAAAATAGAAAAGCATAAGGGAAATGAGTAAACACAAGTGTTTCATATTTCAGGGGTTTTCTGCCCTCGCATTCCAGGTTGATATGACTGAATAATATTAAAAGCGTTTTTCTACTGAGCCTCCTTGCAGAACCATGGAAATTGTTTTAAAATATTATAATGTATCAAATGTAATATGGCTAAATTGGTTCTTAAGAAAATAACTTTCAAGAGTTTAGGACATGCTGCCCTGGCTTGTGTGGCTCAGTGCATTGAGCACCAGCTTTCGAATCAAAGTGTCAACAGTTCCATCCCCAGTCAGGGCACACGCCTGGGTTGCAGGCCAGGTCCCCAGTAGGGGGCACACAAGGGGCAAGCACACATTGATGTTTCTCTCAGAAGGAATTTTAAATTTCAAATGAAGAATAGAAATCAAGATAGATAAGAACTGAAATATATCCCTGGGATTTTGTGACGCAGAAGTGTAGATTTGCATCCATCCATTTGTCATTCTTTCATTAAAACATTTGAGGGACTGCTTTTTTTTCCTGGCAGTAAATGAAAAATTTTGATCGTGAAGAAATTAGGGCATATCAGGAGAGGAACTGTTTTTAAGATAGAAAAGACATAAGAATGTTTAATGTTGATGGAGAGTTACCAAGAGAAATGGAGAGTTTGAAAATAGGAGAGAAAGGCATTAAGAAGGTAAACAGGCAGGTAAATCAATTAACCTTGTATAAAGAGTCCTTCCACTGTAACTGTGTGGTTCCTAGACCCTGACTTATACAGATTGATAAAATTGTAATTCACCAAAAGGAAATCAGGGCATTCAGAAAGAGAACTGGATGCTGGAGAGCCATGGAACTATGTATGAATATCGATCTTGATACAGGCCCTGCTATGTCCCTTCTTTTGTCTCTGTTTTCCTTATCATATCAATCTAAACACAATTTTCTGATTCTTTGCTTCATTTTATTTCTAGATCTTAGTACCTGTTGCTCATAACTTTCTGAAGATTACTAATTCTTATGTAATAATGTTCAAGTATCATTCCTGACTTCCTTGTGCTCCTCTAGTACTTACTCTGTGTGCATCCTACTTAAATCCCTTACATTTTGTTGTCTTCTTCCCATATGAGACCTTAAACTCTCTGAGGACAATGACTATCTTAAACATTCTTTTATATTCCAGGAAATAAAACAGTACTTGATAGACAATAGACATTTAGTATGTATTTGATATTTATGGTATATACTAAGAATATATACTCTTAGGATAATAAAATGGTTGCAACAAAACAGTAATAATAGGTAACACTTACTAGCACTGTCAGTCACCATTGTTCCTATGTGTCAACCAACTGAATCTTCATAGCAATCTTTGAAACATCTTCTGTTCTTTTTACCATTTCACTCATAAAACTGACACATAGAGGGGTTAAGTAACTTTCCCAAGTTCACACAGTGAATAAATATTAGAGCCAGGACTGGAACCAGACCCAGTGCTCAATGCGAGTACACTACACAATAGTTCATGTTTTGTAGAATAATAACCACAAAATGGCCAACATGTGCAAGGGAAGCTATGTAGAAAACTATGTAAAAACACTGCCATGCAGACAAACATTAAGAGATATACAGTAATAATTATAATATTATGTAGTAGAATTGGCGATGTTCTCTACCTTCCAATATTTGTGTTAGAGCGTATTGCATTTTTATAGTATTCTTATAACTAAAAATATTTTAAAGGCAGAAATAAAGGGAAAACCCAACATTTGTAGCACTAAGCAAAAGGGATTCATCCTACAAATACCAAATTAAATTACAGTGTTCGGCTGATGTTAAAAAGTTTTTTTCTAGAAGCCAGCACTAATAAATGAAGCAGGGATACATTCTGGGATGAAATAGTATGTATGGATGATGAGAGGAAATATGTTAAACCTCTAACTTAAAGATTATAAAATACCTGCTCAGTCATTTCTTACCAAATGATACTCCATGATCTTTCAATGGTTGGTCATGTTTCTTGGATAAATTGTAGATACTTGTCGCATAGTTTTTCAAAGCTTTTGCATAGTCTTGAATATTGAAAGGAATGATTTGAGAGTCTGCAAGCTCATAAACCAGTGCCCCTCGTAATTGAGCCACAGAAAGCTGTTTTTTAAATGTGGGGTCATAAAAATTTTCTACCAATTCAAACGTCTCATAAATTGTATGGTATAATGGGTAGCTGCTGTATTTATCTGTTTTCTAAAGAAAAGGTGGGGGTGGGGGGAAAAACCAAAGGCAAACATTACATATTTGAATTATAATATTTTATGTAATCATAAAATGAATACAGAACAAAATACAACCATATGGTACCCTAAGTTTTATCACAATAAAGAAAAAATGTAAAATCTAATTAACTGTAACACTACCACCAAATCTTCAGTGATTTAAAATTTTACCTTTCATTTTATAATTCATATAATCTTTCAAAATACTGCTTCTTGAAAATTCTCATTGTGTTTCTAATAATTAAAATTGAGTTCATACTCCAGTTGCAGAGCAGCACAATTTAAAATTATCTATTAATTGGCTGGGAGTGAAAGGTTGTGGGAAGCTAGGTATCTATATAGCTGAAGGATTGTGTATTTAAGCACCTTCCCCGTCTCCCCAAACAGTGCATAACCAAATGCCATTCAATCGGCTTTACAACATTAAGTACTACCTTTATAAAAACATAAATTATCACATGCTGGTTTCCTATCACATGCTGGTGTGGCTCAGTGGATTGAGCACAGGCCTACTGGTTCAATCCCCAGTCAGGGGACATGTCTGGGCTGCAGGCCAGGTTCCCCACTGGGGGCACTCAAGAGACAGCAGATGGCTGTATCTCAAACACTGATGCTCCCTCTCTTCCTCCCTCCCTTCCCCTCTCTCTAAAAAAAATAAAATCTTTAAAAATATATATTTTTTTTACTTCTTAGGTCTATCTTTAGTTTTCACCTATTTTTACATTACTGTTCTCACCACTTTTATTATTACTAAAAGGAACCCTCTTATCAGTCTCACTCCTTCTGTCTAGTATTGTTTTTGTTCTACATTCTTAGATAACTTCATTCAGAATGGTGACAGAATATAAAAGTGAACAGGCATTGGAAGAGGTAATGTGCCTTATTTATGTATTAAGTGTAGTGAGTATTAGCATACAAACATATGCTTTTATTTTGGGTTATTCTAGAGCTGTTTTTGCTTGTTTTGTTCTGAGTTGTATTCTAGCTCGTCAAATTTGCAAAAGTTATGTACACATATTCTGTACAAGCAAGATATTTGTATATTGCAATGATTTGGAAAATTATTGGGTTGGCTAAAAAGTCTGTATTTTTTTCCATAAAATAAAAGACACATTTTTCATCTTTAGCAATAATTTTATCAGTCTGGATATTTTGAGTATGTAGGCTATCTCCCAAATGGTATAACAATGACTGTTCTCAATTAATGTCTTGATTTAATTGCTACAACTTCAACTGGTCTATCTGACCATGGAGCATTGTCCAGCTACAAACCTCCAGCACGAAACTTCACAAGCCACTTTTGACAGGTTCAATCAGTCATAGCACCTTCTCCATATACTGCACAAATTGTTTTTTGCATTTCAGTTGTTTTTACCTTTCTTGAAACAGTATAGCATAACATGCCAAAAATATTTTGTATTTTTCTCCATCTTCACATGACTACACAAAAATTCACCAATTTTGATGTTTTTTAATGCACACTGATATGATAGCTGTCACAGTACAATCTAACAAAGTTGTTTCAAATGAAGTTCAAGACCACTAAGCACTACTAGAGCCATCTTACAGAGAAAACCAAACAAACTTTTTGGCCAACCCAGTATTAAAATCTATGACAAATCTCACTTTGGTTTATGACATTTATAACATAGGCAAGCAAACATGGTATATATGTTGGCATATCCAAGTTCTTAACAATAAAGAATTTTAGCCTAGCATTCCCTGTAACCAAAACATGTTCTCCACCTACATGTTTTCTCCAGGGAAAAGTACATCAAAGTCTATAAGACTAGGAGAAGATTTCCCAACAAAGCCTGTGTCAGGAAAAAGATGTGAACTACTTGATTCTGACACCAGCTAAACTTCTGACATTACTCTATCAATGACCACTTCATTGAAGAACACTGGCAGCGGGAAGTCACTAAAGAACCCAAATTACTATCTAGTCCATCTACAAAGGGACATGCAGTCTGTCTCTATCCCTGAAATGTCCACCTGTGCCTGTGCCAAACAACTAATGATAGAATTCTTAACCAAAAGAATGTGGATGGAAGTACTTTGTATCCCAAAAAATAAAATGGCTTACCCTATTCTTAGTGTAACGGGCTCTGCCTGAAGCAATTCCAAGTCTCTGAAAATAAGCTTCAAAATCACTTCCAGATCCCAGCTTGTTGATTCTAGATGTAGAATGTAAATAAACACATACATACATGCCCCAACACACAGAGGCATAAATAAATACTATGAAATTAAGTAGATGGGACAATGAATCCTGTCCCAAGAATAGCAAGGGATTTCATGGCACATTTATAGGAATTAGGAAAACGTATACCACCCCCAAGAGACTTTCATGTCATCTGCTGGATATTGGTGTGATAAACCTATAAATCCATAGTGACTGCAACCAGTTTGGCAGTGCCACCAAAAACGGCAGCCTAGGGACTATTCTGTCTCCCATATTTTCTGCATTTGTGGTATTTGTTTAGAGGGAAACAAACAAGATATGGTACCTGCCCTCAGAGAATTATGGTCTAATAAGAAAATTGCCATGAGAAAGTCTATGCTTAAGATTATGAAGAATTTAAATGTGCCTTATTACAAAAATCTAATTAATTTATTTGCATATAATTAAAAAACACTATGTGTGTGTATACACACACACACACACACACACACACACATATATAAAATAATGACATGGAAAATTTTTCATAATATGGTAAGTCAGTAAAACAGAACATAAAATTACATATGCATGAATAACATAACTATATACTTCTAAACTGAGATTTTTTTTGAGATTGAAGCCTTGGATATTTTTAAAATCTACAATGAATTCAGGAGAGCTACTGTTGTGTGAATGGTGTGAACTGAAAAAATTAAATAATACTTAAAATCAAATTGACAGGCAATGACAAAATTTGGTGGTTATTGACAGTGCTCATTAATAACTTCAGAAACAAATAATCCATCATTTGTTTTTTACTTCATCATTATCATTTGAAGTTATATTATTAATGCATTAGTACATATCTGAATAAAATTTTATGCAAGAATGCAGAATAATGCCTAATAATGTGGCAAAATAATTCTGACTAAAATTTTGTAAAACTAGATCTATCTGCTCTATTGTGGGTTAAATGCTGCGGTTGTTCTCCGGATCAGCACGTCAAAGGCTGCACAAAGGGACCCTTTAGGATTATCTCTAGTTGATGAGGCACCTGGGAACTGCATGCCTGGAGAAACACAGGGTAAAGGGGAATTCATAATTTATCCTGTGGTAGAAAATATACAAACAAGTAATTTACCTAGGGAAGTTTTCATTTTCAGATGAAGGGTCCTTTGCCAACCAGCTTTCATAAAGAGATTTACTCTCGAAACCATCATCTGGGCTGGAGATCTGGAAAGATAAACCAAATATTGGCAATTAGAGGCAGAAGCAACTAAATTTATGCCAACGTAAAACCATGTTAGTTAATACCAGTTTCTAATTACATATATGTTGGTGTAGAAAAATATACTTTTCTGCCCTGGCGTGGTTCAGAGGACTGAGTTCCAGCCTGTGAACCAAAGGGTCACACGTTCGATTCCCTGTCAGGGCCCATGCCTGGGTTGCGGGCCAAGTCCCAAATAGGAGGGATGTGAGAGGCAACCACATATTGATCTTTCCTTTTCTTTCTCCTTCCCTTCCCCTCTCTCTAAAAATAAATAAAATTGAAAGAAGGGAGGGAGGAAGGGAAACATGCTTTTATATATAGGAAGAAAAATACCAGACCAAATTTCTGTTGGTTTATGATACCTGCCTACTGGTAATTTTGCCAGATACCACCAAGGGTAAGATTTCCTGCTTATTTTATTAAATTCAAAAATGGACCTAAGGCAGACCCTACTTACACAACTTGGAAAGCACTATATAACCTCTGGTGTGTTGCTTTATACTCTAGTTGTCTCACCTGTGAAAATGGGGAAAGTAGTACTCATCTCAACCTAAACATATCTCCTCTGATATCTGCTCTGGCCTTTCTACAGAGTAGGTTATCCACTCATCATCACATAAGAGGTCTTCGGGTACAGTCCCAGCACTCCACAGAGGCCTCCCTTCCTTGCCAGCATGTTGCAGCTGCAGGGATGTTTTGCTCATTTCCTGCCCAATGACTGGGTTCTACTCTCTACTTGGCTCCTGCCAATTTGCAATAGCTGAGATCCCGCTCCAATTCCTACATTCTGCTTGGATCAAATTCCCTACAAAATTCTCTTCATTTTCTGGAATCATGCCATCTCAGTCTAGCACTAACCAGAACTATGTCCCTTTGTCCTGGACATCCTAGATCAAACTTTTGTGTCTCAGCTATATGCACTGTCATAATTGCTGCCCCTCCTCCACTGTATCAACACCTTGCCCCATTTCTTGCTTGTATCAGGCAGCTGCCCTTCTTTTAGCTCGACCCTCTCTACTACCTCATCCTACCCTCATCTCACCAGCATAATTTGACTATGCCAACATACATTAGGAGCTGATAAAGTTGTAATCATCAGTTTACAGGAGAATAAGAGTCCTTTTTCTACTGAGTTTTGGTATGGCCATACATAGATATCTGGCTTCATACAAAGCTAAGCTTCCTCCTTATTGGCCCTGAATTTTTTATTACCTTTGATCTCACCAGCTGGAGCCAGCTTTGTAAGACCCAAAGCATAAATGCATATCCTAAAGGTTCTGCCAATACAGATTTTTTACAGCTTGCTTTTTAGATAAGATGTTTTTATGGGACATTCCAATGAAAGGATCAAAGACATAAGGTACGCAGTGTTATGAGAAAGTTATGATGGGCATAATGGAGGACTCTCTTAGGAGAACTAGTTTTTAAAGAAACAGCAAAATGGAAAGGGCAAGATTAAGGGAAACTGGGAAACAGCACCTACACAAAGTGATACCTGTACTTCATACTGCCATATAAGTGATACCTACTTGTCAGAAACATTTCTATAATTAAATTTTATAACATGGAACTATTTAAACTAGTACACAGTAAATTAATAGATTATGTAATTTTTAGAGACTCAGTACATTAGAGTTTTCAGAGTACTTTTTATCAACAACAAATATAATATTTCTGTGTGATAAGCATGTCGAATTATTTCCATTTTGCTTTTAGGCCTGTTATGGCTTAACTTATTCACTACACTGATACAGAGCGATTTTTCTAATGAACAAATATGATAATGTACAATCTTGTTAAAACATCATTATTTCTCCATCATTAGATTTCTGAACTCCTTGGCCTATTTGTCATGCCCCACCTTTCCACAAATGCTTTGTGCATGGGTCATACTGAGCTACCTCCAGGTCAGGAAGTATTTTCTTTCATACCTCCACATCTTTTGGGGAATTATGTCCTCTGCTTAGAATGCCTTCTGCCTTACTTTCACATCCTTCCATTCCAGAGCCCAAGCATTAATTACTCTATATGCATCCTCTGATGCTTCCCAAATTCCCCAGCCACCCCAGGATTTTAGGTTCGGTATTCTATAATTGTTCTCCATTGTATATGGTATCTAATATTCCAGTGAACTATAATTCCTCATTTACAGGTCTGTATCATCTCTAGATTACAAAGTATTTGGATTCAGTAACCTTGTCATTTTTCATTATTAATGCTATAATTTATTTTATAAGGCCTGATAACTAGTAACTACTCAATATCTGTTGAAGGAATGGATGAGTAGCCAAGGCAGTCTTTCAACCAAGGCTTTTCCATTCCAGCTCAGTGTTCTTTCTGTTATATCAAAATGCCACTTCCAGATGAAATTATATACCCTATACATTACAACAATGTGCACAATAAGAACTACTATTAGAACAGAGAAACTAGCAGTACTATCTTAATTGTAATGTCATATAAATAGTATATTAGTGATTTTTGTTCTGACTTGTCACCAGTTCAAAAATAAGTAGCACTAATTAACTAGTGCTACTAAGAAAAATGAGTGTTTACTTATCGAGTCATCAGAAAGCATTAAGACAAACCTACTTATATACCTCTTTTGTCAGTTTATACACCAATTGGTAAAGAAGGGGTGTACAGTCAACTCTGAGAGTATAATTGCCTGAAAAATAAATAAAAACATGCATTTTCATATTTTCAAATGAAATTCCAATCTATATTTAATTCTGACTTTATTTTCTAATTATAAATAATATATTATAGACTTAAACCAAAGGCATCACTCCCCATGAATTGAAAATGGTAGAAATAGTTCTTCAAGAGCAAGGGAGGCTGCGGTATGCACTCTGCCCAGAAGGGATGGGTGAACTTTGGCTGCTAAGTCAGCAGCCCCCATAGTAATCGCATAGGTCATTCCTAACACAGTGTCTCTTCGGGGAAGTCTGGCAAAGAAAATGCTAAGGCTGCAACTTTCATTCCTTATTCATTCTGTTAAATGGTATATAGCAAGACACCAGACTAGAGCATGTCAGTGGTTAGTGAGTATGCTCTGACATTTATCTAGACATAATCATAATACACTGAAAGCCTAGGACACAAATATCGCATGTCAGGTTCAACAGAAAGCCTATAGTTTGTGCTGACTTAAAATTTGTTTCAATACAGAAAGCATTTCTGTATGAAAAATTCAGTAAAATACTTCTTTGGAAATAATTTGAACAAATTCTTTTAATCCATCTATAAGAAGAATGTGATTAATACTGGAGTTTTAAATAAGAATCCAAGATAGGCAAATAGTAAATACTCCTTAAAAAACAGGATCAATAGTAGTTTAGCTATGAATCAAATTTACCTTCTATTGATGAATCTGAGTTGATGTAAGCAACGCTTCTCTCCTGAAGTGTTTTTGCATTCTCCTATATTTGAAGCAAAGTTGTTACTTAATTCACAGTATTTATGATTGTGGAAGTATAAACAAAAGAAGCCAATTAATTTAGCATTAAAGTCTGCAACTACTTTATGAATCAAATACCTATGTCTTCAACTGTAATTTCTAGAAAATGCTGATAACTGATTGGCTGACAATAACATTAGTGGAATTAAAACAAGAAAGAAAAACTATTATGATGCTGTACTATTGTTTATAGCAAGACTAGGGAGCCTCAGAGAAAAAAAAATATTTTCACAGTGTAGTGCCTTGATTCCCTGAACCAACATATGAAGGGGCAAGGCTCCCAGATTCTGATTCCCATCCCAGATCTACTGAATAGGAATTGCTGAAAGGTGAGGCTTCTGGCCAAGGTGGAGGTGTAGGCAGATACACTTTGCTTCCTTATACAACCAAAAGGACAACAACCAATTTAAAAACAAAAACTACCGGAACTGCCAGAAAATTGAACTGTATGAAAGTCCAACAACCAAGGACTTGAAGAAGAAATATTCATCCAGATTGGTAGAAAGGGTAGAAATAGGCAGCTGGGGAGGAGAAGATGCACAGCAAGGTGGCAGTTGGCAGATCAGGTGGACATTTGAGTGTGGAAAAACAGGAAGGAAAAACTAGGGAGTGAGACAGGCTACACAACCAAGGGTTCCAGGGTGGGGAAATAAAGCCTCAAAACCTCTAACTGTAAAAACCTGTGGGGGTTGCAACAGTGGGAGAAACTGCCGTTCTCATTGTAGAATCCGTTGGAGTGGCCCATGGGGTCTCAGAACATACATAAGCCCACCTACCCAGGAATCAGCATCAGAAGGGTGCAATTTGCTTGTGAGTAACAGGGGAAGTGACTGAAAGCTAGCGAGAGTACTGAGCAAGTGAGCATTGTTCCCTCTCGGCCCCCTCCCCCACATACAGTGCCACAAACAGTAAAGTGTTTGCCCTGGCAAATACCTAAGGCTCCACCCCTTACAACATAACAGGTGTGCCAAAATAAAAAAAGATGGCCCAAATGAAGAACAGATCAAAACTTCAGAAACAGAACTAAGCAGTGAGGAGATAGCCAACCTACCAGATGTGGAGCTCAAAACACTGATAATCAGGATGCTCACAGAAATGATTGAGTACAGCCACAAAATAAAGGAAGAACTGAAGGCTATACAAAGTGAAGTAAAGATAACATAAAGGGAACCAACAGTGAAGGGAAGGAAACTGGAAAAGTTTCCAAACTGGGAAACATTCCAAATCAAAGATTTGCAATAAAAGCAGATAAACACTGAACTATAACAAAGTGAGGAAACAAGAACTGAAAAAATGAAGAAAGGCTTAGGAACCTCTAAGACAACTTTAAACATTCCATCACCCAAATCATAGGGGTGACAGAAGGAGAAGAGGAAAAGCAAGAAATCAAAAACTTATCTGAAAAAATAATGAAAGAAATCTTCCCCAATCTGGTGACAGAAATAGACATACAAGTCTAGGAAACTCAAAGTCCCAAAGAAGTTGGACCCAAAGAGGAACACACCAAGACACAGCATAATTAAATCACCCAAGCTTAAAGATAAGGAGAGAATCTTAAAAGCAGCAAGAGAAAATGAGACAGTTACCTACAAAGGAGTTCCCATAACACTGTCAGCTGATTTTTCAAAAGAGATCTTGCAGGCAAGAAGGGGCTGGAAAGAAGTATTCCAAGTCATGAAAGGCCAGGATCTACACCTAAGATTACTCTATCGAGCAAAGCTATCATTTAGAATGGAAGGGCAGATAAAGTGCTTCCCAGATAAGGTCAAGTTAAAGGAGTTCATCATCACCAAGCCCTTATTATATGAAATGTTAAAGGTACTTATTTAGAAAAAAGAAGATCAAAACTATGAACATTAAAATGACAACAAACACAACTATCAACAACTGAATCTAAAAAACAGAAACAAATACAAACACAAACTAAGCAAACAACTAGAGTAGGAACAGAATCACAGAAATGGAGATCACATGGCAGATTATCAGTGGGGAGGGAAAGGGGGAGAACAGGGAAAAGGTAAAGGAAATAAGAAGCATAACTTGTAGGTACAAAATAGATAGGAGGATGTTAAAAATATAGGAAATGGAGGAACCAAAGAACTTAAATAAATTCTTATATATGTATGAGCCATGGACATGAACTAAGGGGTGGGGGATCCTGGAGGCAAGGGGGTACAGGGTGGATGGGGATGAAATGGAGAAAAAAATTGGACAACTGTAATAGCATAATTAATTAAATATACTTTTAAAATAAGAAAAATAGCTGTGGCTGTTGTAGGTCAGTGGATTGAGCACCTGCCTGTGAATCAAACGGTTGCTGGTTTGATTCCCAATCAGGGCACATGCCCGAGTTGTGGGCCAGGTCCCCAGTGGGGGCACACTAGAGGCAACTACACATTGATGTTTCTCTCTCTTTCTCCCTCCCTTCCCCTCTCTCTAAAAAAAAATAAAATCTTTTAAAAAATAATAAAAAAAGAGCCCTGGCTGGCGTAGCTCAGTGGATTGAGCACGGGCTGCGGACCAAAGTGTTGCAGGCTCGATTCCCAGTCAGGGCACATGCCTGGGTTGTGGGTAACGGACCCCAGCAGCCGCACATTGATGTTTCTCTCTCTTTTTTCCTCCCTTCACTCTCTAAGAATGAATAAATAAAATCTTAAAAAAAAGATGAAAAAAATCTTTATAAAAAAATAATAAAAGAAAAAAACAATAAAAAGTATAAAGTAGTAAAAAAAAGAATTGCTAAAAGGCCTGGAAATTTTTAATTTGTAATTCTAAAATGTGTCCCTGGCAATCCCTGCATTCATTGAAGTTTTGAGATCCACTGATAGTGGATATCCAAATAAATGTAGCATTTTAAAAGTGAAAAATATAAAACAAAAAAAGAAAAAGAAAAAAGAAAATTAAAACGTGAAAAATAGAAAATTTCATTTTTTAATAAGAAGATATGGAAAAACAGAAAATAAAAGGAGGACAGCAAAGACAGAAAGAAGGAAGGACATTAGGACAAACACGAGACTGACTGACTCCTTTACACACACATGCACAACATAAGTTAGAGAAGGGCAAATGTCACACACAGATGGAAATATGCCAAGAGTGCCCTTTAACTCCGTCTTTCTAGTTTACTGCCTTATTAATAACATGTTACAGGGTCCTTTGCCTATTTTTAAATTGGACTATTTGTCTCCCTGGTGTGGGGTTGTGTGAGTTCTTTATGTATTTTGGAGATCAAACTCTTGCCCAAGGTATCACTGGCAAATATGTTTTCCCATACAGATGTTTCCCTTTTGATTTTTCTGACATTTTCTTTAGCCATGCAGAAGTTTTTTAGTTTGTTGAAGTTCTATTTGTTTATTCTTTCCTTTATGTCCCTTGCTCTAGGGGACATACTTGTAAAAATACTGCTGCATAGAATATCTGAAATTTTCCTGCCTATTTTCTCCTCTAGGACTTTTATGGTGTTGCAACTTATATTTAAGTCTTTTATCCATCTTGAGTTTATTTTTGTGTATGGTGTAAGTTGGTGGTTAAGTTTTATTTTTTTACATGTAGCTGTCCAGGTCACCCAACACCATTTGTTGAAGAGGCTATTTTTACTCCATTTTATGCTTGTGCCCCCTTTGTTGAATATTAATTGCCCATACAGACATGGGTTTATTTCTGATCTCTCCATTCTGTTCCATTGATCTATGCTTCTGTTCAAAAGAACCTATGAACCCCAATGTTCATAGCAAGGTTATTTACAATAACCAAGTGCTGGAAGCAACCTAAGTGCCCATCAGCAAATGAGTGGATAAAAAAACTGTGGTACATTTACATGATGGAATACTATGGAACAGAAAGAAAGAAGGAAATCCTACCCTTCATGACAGCATGGATGGAACTAGAGTATTTTGCTAAGTGGAATAAGCCAGGTGCTGAAAGACAAATACCATAAGATCTTACCTGTAAGTGGAACCTAATCAACAAAACAAACAAGCAAGCAAAATAGAATCAGAGACATGGAAATAAAGAACAAACTGACAGTAACCAGTAACCAGAGGGGAGGTGGGAGAGGATAATAGGGGTAAAGAGGGAAGGATTGTCAAGGAACATGTATAAAGGACCCATGGACAAGGACAACCGGGGGTGAGGAGGATTGAATGTAGGAGGTGGGGGTCGTAGGGCAAAGGGAGAGTAATGGGGAGAAAATGGGGACAACTATAATTAAACAACAGTAATAAAGAACATGTTACAATAAAGAAATATTTAAAGCTATGAGAGGTTACGCTACAAATGAGGACTGCCACTTCTCTGCTCTTGCCCACGCAGGCCAGATGATAATTGTCTCTGTTATAGAAAAATATTAAGTCAAAGTTTCCATTGTAAAAGATTTACATTAGAAATAAGGAATATTCCTTAAATATTTAATGAGAGTATGCTGTCAAATATGATGAAAAATCTGGTAGAAAACTAGAAAGTCATGAAATTGTATTTTAAACCACATGTATTTAATGTAAAGCATATTATTTTATATCTTAGATTTTTATCTTTATTTTAAGCTGCAAAAGTTATAGAAACAGAGACATGTATTCATATATACATGTATTCACATTAAATTACATTATTTCTAAAAGTAAATGAACTTAATGAAATTTCATTCATCTAGTCTACTTCCAAAATGCATGGTTATAATACCAATGTAACAATAGAACTTTGCAATGTAAATAGAATCAAAAGGATAAGTGATTGCACTGGCCAGAGTGGCTCAATTGGTTGGATATCATCCAGAAAAATGAAAGGTTGATGGTTCAATTCTCCGTCAGGGCACATGCCTGGGTTGCAGGTTTGGTCCCTGGTCAGAGCATGTACAGAAGGCAACCTGTCGCTGTTTCTCTTTCACATTGCTGTTTCTCTCCCTGTCTTTCACCCTCCCTTTCCCACTGTCTAAAAATTAAAAAAAAAAGAAGATAAGTGATTGACAGGCAACTGTGTGTATGATTTTACTTACCCCCACACTGGTTTGATTCCTATTATTTTAAAGTAAGAGAAAATGAGCCAGGAGGAAAGCATTTTAAGAACCACAGCCAATGTCAAGAAATGTATGACATCTTTGAAACTCCTTTATAAAATCTGGACTTATGAAAGCAATATATGCTTACATAGGATGGTGGTGGGAGAATAAGTGTTTATATAGTGCATCTCCCTTTATAAGAATTATGAGCTTACCTTGTGCATTTAAGAATTTAAGGGTTACTTGACAGAGAGGCTAAGGGAAAAAGATGAAAGAAGGTGGCTTGGGAGAGACACTTAAGGATAAAGCATTAAGAGGTAGTCACAAATGAAAGTCAATAATATCTGAAGAAAAAACAAATCTCAGAAATTCTAAAGGCAATCAACTAAAGTAATTCTATTTACAAAATTAACATATATTCAATAATCAGGCACTTTTGTGAGTTGTAAAATACAGGGTCTGGTAAAAATAATGCCACTGAGTGTGGCTGGTAGGGTGTGTGAATGTCTTGCATGAGGTGGGTGGACAGCAATTTGAACATTTGACCTAAAATGGCATATAGGGCCCTGGCTGGTGTAACTCAGTGGATTGAGTGTGGGCTGCAAACCAAAGGGTTGCTGATTTGATTCCCAGTCAGGGCACATGCCTGGGTTGTGGGCCAGGTCCCCAGTAAGGGAGTCATCAGAGGCAACCACACATTGATGTTTCCCTCCCTCTCTTTCTCCTTTCCTTCCTCTCTCTCTAAAAATAAATAAATAAAATTATTTTAAAAAATAAAATAAAATGTCATATGGTGTGCATGAGTACATACTGTCATGTTACAGAATTACATGGTTATGATTTTATAACAAAAGATTTTTATGTAATAAAAAGGGATGTTATTTTTACCAGACTCCATATATGTATGGTTGCAATTTTATGTAAAATTCATAAATATGAAATTGTAATGAAAGACATTTTAATAGACCATCTTATGTTTTCATAGATAGAAGAATTTCAAGGAAACTAAAAACTTGAAAATGAACTCCAAGGATATGTACAAGTTTTCAGGTAAGTCAGGTCAATTGTCAAAAACAGCCTTGGCTATCTTCTGAATGTACAGATTTTAAGAAGTTACTCTGTTTTGCCAAACTAATGTGAAAGTAAAGGCAAACTCAAGTTCTTAAATTCTCAAGTCTTTATTAAAACCATATTAAGTAATGGAATATATTTGTGAACATCCTGAGATACACATATTTGTTCCCGGTTGACCAAGAAACTAATTTTCTTTGTCTTACTTACCTCAGCCCATTCTGTGGAACCTAGAAGTCCAAATTCTTCTGCATCCCAGCTGGCAAAAATGATAGTTCTTCTAGGTCTCCAGCCTGTAATCATTGTTAACATACATAGTAAGGTACACCTGCCTAAAAATAAAGGAAAATTAGTGAGTCCGTTTTTGTCATCACCCACTGAGGAAACATTATTTACCTCGACTCATCAGTTTTCCAAAACTCTGAGCAATTTCTTGTAAAACAGCGGTCCCTGTGGTTGGGTCAATGCCTCCAAACACCCAGGAATCCCGATGGCCTCCCAGGATAACATACCTGTCTGGAAGAGAAGGCATTCAAAAGAGCTACAACTTGGAGTGTATTAGAAATATTGTAACTTAGGTTTTCTTAAAGTAAACTTCCTCTTGCTCAAGTTCCCTCCATAGGAAAAAAAAATTAACACTATAAGGTAGTCTCCTTTTAGAGTAGTACTTTTTTCCAAATTTAGTTGTTTTATGTCACCATAAAAATCAACTGTTGAGTAAAATTATCTTATTCTTTTAATGTTTGTAAAAACAAAAGTGTTTTAAAAATTCTATGGCTCACCAGGTTCCACAGATCCTCGGATAGTTCCGATTACATTGTAAATCCTTGTAATTTTATTGGTGTTATAAACATGCATTTTAACTTTCCTAGAATTTCAAAGGGAATAAATTACTTCACATAGAGCATTATGTCTAACAGCTTTCTTTATACATTTAATTATGAAAAATCTCAAGAGCACAAAAAACTCTAACATAGTTTAATAGATTCTTATGTATACACCACCTAAATTATTGTTAATATCGTTGAAACATTTGCAAGTTGCAGACATCATGATATTTTACTTCTAAACACTTAGGCATGCAATTGAAGTAAAAAAAATTAAAAATTGTTATATTTTAGAGTGGGGAAAAAAGGTACAGGGAATAAGAAGCATAATTGTCAGGCACAAAATAGACAGGTGGAGGTTAAGAATAGTATAGGAAACGGAGAAGCCGAAGAACTTGTATGTACAACCCATGTACATGAACTAAAGGGGGGCAGGGGAATGCTGGAGGGAGGGGAAGTACAGGGTGGAGAGGGATAAAGAGGAGGAAAAAAGTGGGACAACTGTAATAGCATAACCAATAAAATACACTTAAAAATAAAAAATAAAAAAGTTTTATCTTCTCTGATATCTTCACTTATCAGTGTTACATTGTCCTTTCTCTCCGCCTTTCAGGAGAATCATGCTACATTGTTTCACAGCTCTGTTCAAGCTGATCTCTCTAGCTGGCACTTCCTGCCTGCCTCCATCCAGTGGAATATTTATCTTTTCTGTAAAATTAAGCTTAATAAACAGGCAGGCTGCTATTACTCCTCCTCTACAACAGTGCCATAATGTGTTAATAACAAGTAAGCGTACTGAGCCCTGCAATAATTACCTGCTTGCTCATGTGACTCACTTAACCTGCCCACACAAATGTTCGGTAAATGCATCCTTTCTCTCTTTCACTCCTTTCCTTTAAGTTAGCCTAGTGATTCACATGCAAAACATTCTGAAAGAGTTATGAAAACTGTTTTAAAACTTTAACTGAAAAGTGTTAAAATACTGAATTATAATTCAAAAGTCTCAATTTTTGAGACTTTATGAATTAAATGTTATAATATCACTACTGGAAGAAATTGGATATATTATTCTGAAGGTACTTTAGTGATATAAAATGATCACTTATTCATTATTAAAAATGGGAAAACAGCCCTGGCTGGTGTGGCTTAGTGGATTGAGCACAGGCCTACGAACCAAAGGGTCGCTGGTTCAATTCCTACTCAGGGCACATGCCTGGGTTGCCAGCCAGATCCCCAGTAGAGGCACTCAAGAAGCAGCCACACCAAGAGAAGGTGTTTCTCTCCTTCTCTTTCTCCCACCTTTCCCCTCTCTAAAAATAAATGAATAAAATCTTTTAAAAAATAAAATAAAAATGGGAAAACAAAAATAAGCAAAATCTAGCTGGTAGAACAGTTATCCTGACATTTTCCCATTAAACATATCAAACTTTTCCAGGCTATTAAATTAATGGGAAGTTACCTGAAAGAGCCATGCCCTGTGAAACCAGGCCCAATATTGTAATCCACAGCAAGACTTCCCTTCCAGCTGTCATCTGGTGAAGCTGTTCCTCCCATATGGCTGTCAAGAGAAAATGAAAATGACAAAAAAAAAGGGTAGAGCATCACAATTTCTTAGAAATATTCATGAAGTGTGATGGTGAGCTATTTCATTCATACATTTAACAAATACTTACTGAGCATTTACTAAGGACTGTCAAAACTCGCTTCCCTTGGGGAGCTCACTTTCTAATGGGAGAGCCAAAACTGAGATACACAAGCAAGCTATTTAATGTGTTAGTGATAAGAGCTAAGGAGAAAAAAAAAAGTGAGGAGAAAAGGGAAGCTTCAGCCTCCTTACTTTTGACTTTATTTATTTATGTAAGCATGTATTAGTTCCAAAAAATCCTGCAAGTACGAAATCCATGACTGTGCTAAGGAGAAATTAACTTCTACTGAAGCTGCGCATTACACAGTAGGCATTCCTAAAGCAATTAGTAAACTGTACTGATACAGGCATTTTTACAAATATATAAATTGTGAAGTCAACTTTGGAAAATATATCCCCAAGATTTGTGCTCATTTTCAAAGAGGGCTCACGATGAGGTATGTAGACTCATTCTTGAATTATAATTATTTATTGAAATTGAAAGTTGGCATGGTTTTCCCACTGTATATTTATAATAAAATATAAATATAAAATATTGGTTGATCTTTCAAGTAGAAGTTGAGCACAAACTCTAATGCTTAACTACATTTACTCTAAAATTACTATTACATTTTCAATATTTTTTGCATTATTCTCTACTTTCACAGCTATGTTTTAATTCTTTATTACAGAAAAAATTCTATTTTGAAATTGAAAAAATATATAAATTAGATTTGAAAGGGAAATTGAATTATAGAATGCATATAATAGCAAACATTAATTGAATGCTTACCAAATTTAAGAACTTTACATGCATGATCCTGTCTACTTCTTATAAGTCCTATTGGGGACAAATTATTCCTGTCCTCATTTTATAGATAAAGAAACTGAATCATAGAAAGATTGAGTGAATAGCCCAAGTTCACACATGTAATGAGTCGTGGACATTATCATATTTTTAAAATGCAGGCCAAGTACAAAATTAAAATAATAAAAGAAAGAAAATTAAATTAAATTAAATTAAATACAGGTCGAGCACAAATATCAAATGAGTATCTAAGACAATCCAATTACTTGAAAAGTCTCAAATAAATATTTTTATCTTTGGACAGTTTCACTTTTGAGACTTTTATTTGTAGCAAAAAGAGTAATGTTTTCTTAAGGACTAAACTGACTACATCTATGGGGAAAAAAGGTATGCTTTGTTATTCCTATTTCAGGAGCTATTTTGACCCCAGACTTTTAACATAAATAGGTTACATTGGTTTTAGAAGAAACAATGAACACATTAGTGCAAAATATCTTAATCTCATATCCAACAAGAACATAATACCGCCCTGGCTGGCGCAGCTCAGTGGATTGAGCACGGGCTGGGAACCAAAGTGTCCCAGGTTCGATTCCCAGCCAGGGTACATTCCTGGGGTGCAGGCCATAACCCCCAGCAACCGCACATTGATGTTTCTCTCTCTCTCTCTCTCTATCTCCCTCCCTTCCCTCTCTAAAACAAATAAATAAAATCTAAAAAAAAAAAAAGAACACAATACCGTAATAATACTTCTGCATCATTATATCCAATGGGGTGTACAGGGATTTGGGGCATTCCCACTCCTTCTTTAATATCAAGTCTAAAGGTGTATTCTGCAGAAATCAATTGCATAAAGTAAAAAGAATTAAAAACTGGAGCCAAGGGTATAGAAATTTTTTTTTATGATTCTTGCAGACTTGTAATACATTTGACATTATATTCAAAAGTAAAAGTTCCCCCCAAATCAATGATTATTTTACTAATATAGTCTATTTAATTCAACAGTAAGATATTAAATCATTTACATTCTAATTTAAAATCAATTATAGGTATTGTAGATTCCCAAACTTGTTTTGAACTTCCACATAATTCTCTTAAACTTTACTAGAACAAATTTTCATTTTGCCCTTGCTGATTTACTCAGTTGGTTAGAGGGTCATCCCAATATGTCAAGGTTGTCAGTTTGATCCCTATTAAATTATTGGTCAGGGCACATATAAGAATTAAGAAATGAATGCATAAATAAGTGAAACAATAAATTGATGTTTCTTTCTCTCTCTCAAGTCAATACATTTTTTTAAAAAATTAAGTAATACTTTAATTTATCAGGGACACCTTGAATCCTTCTTAGAGAAGCCTCAGTTTACCAGATGTCTGGAAAATATGTTTCATATTCCCAAGCTAGAAATAACTGTGAAAAAGTTAAAGGGAATTCAAGAGATCTTAGGAAAAAGCAATAAAGATTTTATTCAAACACAACATTCACATTAAAGAAAGGTTGAAAAATATTGCCAGGCTTAAAAACCTCCTTAGGACTTTGACTTTCAACCAAAATAGAATCATATAGCATTGAAACACCTATTTTAGAAAAAAAGAAGGTTTCAAACAAATGGCTTCAGGTTTTACCTTAAGAAGCTAGGAAACAAAGATAAATGAGGAAAAGTAAGAGAGAGGACATAAAAAAGACCAGAGCACAAATCTAAAATATAGGAAACAGAAAAGGGATAGAAATTATCAATAAAATGATCCTTCAGAAGATCAATAAGTCTCTGGCAACACAGATCAGGGAAAAAAGAAAAAATAAAGAATATATATCATCAATATAAGGAATAAAGAGAATATCACTCTAGTACCTGCAAACAAAAAAATAAGAGAATATTATTAACAATTCTATGCCCATAAATTCAATAACTTAGATAAAATGGAAAAGGTGCTTGAAAGACACAAACTATCAACGCTCACTCAAGAATAAAGAGATAACCTAAACAGAAATATATCTATTAATGAAATTGAATTTGTAGTTAAAAGCATTCCCACAAACAAACTTTAATGCCTGGATGGATCTGGTGGGGAATTCTACCAAACATTCACAGATAAAATCAACCCATTCTTAAAAACTCTTGCATAGTCTTTGCTGGTGTGGTTCAGTGGATTGAGCACTAGACTGCAAACCAAAAGGGTCACTGGTTCAATTTCCCATTTGGGGCACATGCTCAGGTTGCATGCCAGGCCTCCAGCTGGTGGCATACAAGAGGCAACCAATCAATGCATCTCTCACACACTGATGTTTCTCTCACTCTCTTTCTCCCTCGCTTCCTGCCTCTCTAGAAATAAGTAAACTCTTTAAAAAAAAAAAAAAAAAAACTCTTGCATAAACAAATAAAGATGAGAGAGGGTAACCAACTCATTCCATGAGGTCAGCATTATGGATACCAAAATGACAGATATTAGCCCTGGGTGTGGCTCAGTGGACTGAGCACTAACCTGCGAACTGCTGACCTGTGAACTAAAGGGTCGCTGGTTGGATTCCCAGCCAGGGCACATGCCTGGGTTGCAGACAAGGTCCTAAGTTGGGAGCACGTGACAGGCAACCACACATTGATGTTTCTCTCCCTCTCTTTCTCCCTCTCTTCCTCCCTCTCTTCCCCTCCCTCTAAAAATAAATAAATAAGCCCTGGCTGGTGTAGCTCAGTGGATTGAGCTCGGGCTGGGAAGCAAAGTGTCCCAGGTTCGATTCCCAGCCAGGGTACATTCCTGGGTTGCAGGCCAGAACTCCCAGCAACCGCACATTAATATTTCTCTCCCTCTCTCTCTCTCTCTCCCTCCCTTCCTTCTCTAAAATAAATAAATAAATAAATCTTTAAAAATAAATAAATAAATAAATAAATAAATAAATAAATAAACTCCTTTAAAAAATCAAAATGACAGATGTTACAGGAAACTAATCTATAAGCTGATACCCCTAAAGACTAATATTTTACCAAATTTTAGCACACATTCAGCAATATACTAACAATATATAAAATGATAATGTATTGTGACCAAGCAGAGTTTAACCCAGGATGAAACGGTTGGTTCAAAAATCAATCAGTGTAACTGAACAAAAGTACATAACAACTTTATTTGAATAGATGCAGTAAAAGTATTTGAAAAAATCCTATATACATTTCTAGATACATGTGTTAATTTAAAAGCTCATCACATTACCATTGAAGTTCCTCGATCTGACAAAAAGAATCTATAAAAGACATACAGATAATATCATATTTAACAGAGAAAGACTTCTTCTTTGGGCAGCAGCAAAGCAAAAATATCTACTCTAACAATGTTTCAACAAATTTTGGGAAGTACTAGCCAGTGCAATAAGGCAATAAAAAGAAATAAAAGGCAGCCAGATTGGGGAAAAAGTTTTCATTTGCAGGTGACACAATTTTCTATGTACAAACTCTGATGGAATCTACAAAAACCTAGAAGTACTAATTAGTGAGTTTAACAAGTTTACAGGATACAATATCAATATATTTCTTCTAGAAATACAATATTTCTATTTACTAGCAATACAGTTGGAAACTGAAATTTAAAATGTTAATTTAAGAGGATGGAGGAATTGAGCAAAAAGGAAAGGACCCATGGACATGGACAACAGTGTGGTGATTGTTGGGGGCAGGGGAGTATATGGGTACTCAATGGTAATGGAAAAAATACCATACAAATTAAAGAATAGAATAAAAAAAGAAAATGTAATTTAAGATAGCATAAAAATCTGAAATGATTATAGATAAATGTGAAAATAGATATACATGATCTGTACAGTGAGACTATAAATATGCTGAGAGAAATCAAAAACTTTGAAAGAAATGGTAACTTGGAGGGCTCAAATTTCTATTAGAATAGTGTCAAAAAAAATTTACCACACTAAGTGTTGGTAAGGATATAACAATTGGAACACTCATACACTGTTGCTGGAATGTAAAATGGTATAATAATTTTAGAAAACAATTTTATAATTTCTTAAAAAGTTAAACATACCTCTATCATGTTACCCAGCCATTTCAGTTCTATGTATTTACTAAAGAGAAATGAAAGCACACATACAAAGAGATTTGTATACAACTCTTCAGGACAGCTTTATGTATAATAGCCCCCAAACTGAAAATAATCTACACTTTCATCAAATAAATAAAAAATTAGTATACCTATTCAATGGAATACTGCCCAGCAAAAATGGAATGAATTATGGACATGTATCAATATGGATAGACCTCAAAACAACTATGCTGACAGGGAGCAGATACCTGTGGTTTTCTGTGGATTAGCAGGGAGGGAACAAGAAGGGGTGAGAGGGAGCCAATACAATGAGATGGGAGGAAACTTTTGGGTTATGGATAAGTTCATTATCTTGACTGGGGGGATGGTTACACAGATGTCAAAATTTTCACACTTCAGATATTAAATAGCACACACACAAAAACTCATTGGCATTTTTTAAAAGAACAGATATGATCTAGAGAAAAATAAAATCACTAGGCAATTCAGAAAACCTATGTTCTAGCTTCCGATCAAAATGAAGGTGTAGGGAGACAAGCTCCACCTCATTACACAACCATAAGAAGGAACACAACTAATTGAAAACAGAAAAAAAAAACCACCCAGAACTGCCAGAAAATCACCCAAAACTGTATAGAAGTCCAAGAACCAAGGATTTAAAGAAGTTATATTCATCCAGATGAGTAGGAGGGGTGGCGACGGGGACAGCGACAGAGAGGTGGTGGAGCCAGTGGAAGGAGCTGCAGCCAGTGGCAGGAGCAGCCCCGCATTTCACATGTGGTGGATAAAACTCAGGAAGACACCTTGTGAGCCAGCAAGCCCAGCGTAAGGCCAGACCACGCAGCCCAGGTCTCCAGCACTGGGAAAAAGCAAGCCCCATAACTTGTGGTTGTAAACCCTGTGAGGGGGAAGGAGGGTGAGCAATGAACTGCCGGTTCCTCAAGAGATCCTAGAACATATGCAAACCCACCCACTCTGGGAACCACGACCAGGGCAGCAGCTGGAGGGGCAGCAGTCACATGTGGGAAGTGGGTGAAGCGACTCGAAATGGTGCAAGGTCCAGACAAGGCCCCAGAAGTCAGCCAGCAGTGGCACTGTCCCTCTTGGACCCCTCCCCCCAACACAGAGACATGGTTGTCCCCACCCTGGCAAATACCCAAGGCTTCACCCCATATGACTTAACAGGTGCACTAAAAGGTAATCAAAGTGGCTCTACCTAGCACACAGGCCCAGGGAGGCTGACAAAATCAGAAGACAAAGAAATATGGCCTAATAAAGGAAAAGAACAGAATTCCAGGAAGAGAACTAAGCAATGTGGAGATAGCCAACCTATCAAATGCAGAATTGAAAACACTGGTGGTCAGAATGCTCAAAAACCTCACTGAATACAGCAAAAGCATAAGGGAAGAAGTGAAGGCTCTACTAAGGGAAATAAAGAAAAATCCACAGGAAACCAACAGTGAAGGGAAGGAAGCCAGGACTGAAATCAAAGATTTGGAACATAAGGAAGAAATAAACATTCAATCAGAACAAAATGAAGAAACAAGAATTCAAAAAAATGAGGAGAGTTTAAGAAGACTTTGGGACAACTCCATAAATGCCAAGTCACATGGATGCCAGAAGAAGAGGATGAGCAAGAAATTGAAAACTTACTTGAAAAAAATAATGAAGGAAACTTCCCTAATTTGGCAATAGACATAAAAGTCCAGGAAGCACAGAGAATCCCAAACAAGTTGGATCCAAACAGGTTCACACTAAGACACATCATAATTAAAATGCCAAAGGTTAAAGATAAAGAGAGAATCTTAAAAGCAGCAAGGGAAAAAAAGTTATTTTTTCAAAGACTGACAGCTGATTTCACAGAAGGAACCTTGCAGGCAAGAAGGGACTGGCAAGAAGTATTCAGAGGGATGAAAAGCAAGGACTTATAACAAAGATTACTCTATCCAGCAAAGTTATCATTTAGAACTGAAGGAGAGATAAAGTGCTTCTTCCTAAACAAGGTAAAGCTAAAAGAGTTCATCATCACCATGCCTTTATTATGATATATTAACAAGACTTATTTAGAAAAAAAGAAGAAGATTAAAACTATGAACATTAAAATGACAACAAACACAACTATCAACAACTGAATCTAAAAAACAAAAACAGAAACTAACTAAGCAAACAACTAGAACAGGAATAGAATCACAAACATGGAGATCATTTGGAGGGTTATCAGCTGGGAGGGGGAAAGGAGAGAATACGGGAAAAGGTACAGGGATTTAGAAGCATAATTGGGTAGGTACAAAATAGGAGGGATGTTAAGAACAGTAAAGGAAATGGAGACACCAACTTACCTGCACAACTCATGGACATGAACTAAATGGGGGTATCGCAGGAGGGAAGTGGGGAACCAGGCAAATGGGGAAAAATTGAGACAATTGTAATACTATAATCAATTAAATATACTAAAAAATAGAAATCTTATATTCTAGTTTGGTAAGGACAGTATTATTTTGGATATGAGGATCTTCTTTCTGAACCTCCGCTCTACTAAAGGTAGAGAGAAAATAGAGATAATTCAACTGACTTTTCCTTCTCCATGTCTATACCTAATGACAAGCTGAAACTAATACAAGGGAAATGTCTTTGTATTCCTAGCAACAGCAATCCAAAATATTATCTTTGCACACAGTTTTAATGTTGTTCTGTAAATGCTTGCTTGCTCTTATGCCTTTTATGCAGGCCAGTACTATTTTTGCAAAAAATGGGTAGACTATGACAAGCTCATCCATTACCTTTAGCTGGATAGCCTGGAGTGAGTGGGTCACCAGCACCATTCAGATTTAACACATTCCCTCTCTGGGCTGCATGTCCTGGAAGGTTCCATCCTTTGGGATACGGCTGCACCTCAGGGGCAGAGTAGTCAGCTGGATCGGAGTACAGGATGATTCCTATGGCTCCCACTGACATGGCATTTTTAACCTGCAGGGGCAGTATGCAATCAATGATGTAGAAATGGCAAATGATTGACTTATTCATCTATGAGAAAAAAACATTTAATAATGTAAGGAAATGTGGACACTGCATTTTACCATGCTGTTACTCATTTTGTTCTCCTTGCCTTGAATATTTTTTCTCTTCTGGTAGACCTAACAACTCTCATGTATTTTACACAACTCCAAACAAGTTATACTTCTGTGAAACATTCCTAGTGTTCCTAAATGCAAAATTAACATCTCCCTTCTTTATACTTCTATACTTTGTACGTATTTCTATGTTAGGACAGATAAAAGTATTTTAAAATATTGTTTAAATATCTTGCTCCCCTAGGGTTACAATGTAAGAGATTAGTGTTCTTATTGTATTCTTGTTTTACATATAAGAAAACACTGGCACCCTGGGTGTTTATGAGAATCCGTGCTGTTAATTACTTTTAACAGTCCACCCTTCAAAATCAGGCATATCATAAACACTCTACAGTATGTGTGGGACTAAATTAATTTAAAATTCTATGCAGAATAGTCATAGTGAGTGAAAAATGGCCCAGTGTTTTTGAAAACATTTTTCTAATAATCCAAATCAACCATAAATAAGAAAATCTACCCTATAAGATACTGAATTCTTCATTACCAGAAGCATTGCAGTAAAAGATGGATAACCATAACTTTTGATCAACTAAAATATTTTAATATTCAGAAAGTACTCATATATTAGTGAGAGTACAATCTGTCACAACTTGTTTGAAGGGTAATCAGATGCCTGTCAAAATTTTGAAATGATACCCAACATGATTCAGCCATTCAATGTCTAGGAATCTATAGTACAAAAAAACCCTTCACACAAATGTCCAAGTACATATTAACAAAGATGTTCACAATGGAATTATTTGCAATAGTAACAAATTTAAGACACACCAAGCATCTGTTGACAGAGAGAGTTAGATAAATGATCATTTCTGTGAAACACTATGTAACCATCTAAAATAATAAGGTATTTACTTAATCAACAGTTACATAGAAATTACTAAATATAATTCACTATCTGATTTGTTTTCAAACATAAAGTCATTTAATCCCCATGAGGATTATAAGAGATGGTATTATAATTAGCATTTTCATGTTATACATGAGGAAACACTCAAGTTTAGCAACTTGCTCACAGTACAAGATCCAGAGAATAGGAAGCCCAGATTAGACCAAAACACAGGTTGCTTGGACCTCGAGTCCTATACTCTTAAACATGAAACAATACCCACAAGTTATTGCTGAGTAAAAAATAAAGTTATACAATATATAGTGTCTGATGCCCTCTTTGTTAAAAAGTAATATATCTAAAATGATTATGAAGACATACACTTATATTCATATTTCACAGAATTGGGTCTGGAAAGAGCTGTTGAGATTGATTATGTCTGGGTAATGAAGTTGGATAATACAGGAGAGCATTTTATTTTTTTTTCAGTTTACATAAATTTCCTTCAATTAAATAAAAAAGCAAATATTGCTTTGGTAATAAAATTATTGAAAATAATTTCCCTCTCTAGATATGTGAGGTAACATAAAAAAGAGGATTTTCTGTGCAACCATGAAAATATATACACATATATATGGTGAAAGCAATTTTGGAAACTGGGATGTAAGATGTTGATTTACATTTACAGGGTATATTTTATCTTCTTCCCTCTAGAAAAACAAAGAACAGTACTTTATTTCCTCTGAAGATTTTCCCATATCTGGCAATAACAATCTTTCCAGTGCAGTTGATGCCCATTTCTCTTTCTAGTTTGAAAAAATCTTCAGTCCGAGCATAGTTTACATATACAAGATCTCCCTGCAGGGAAAACAAAAAAGAAAAACTATACACAACACTGCTCTAGTTAAAGAGAAAACCAAAGAATAAGTTTGCTTCACAAAACTGCATCATCCAAAGTTATCTTTCCTGGCTTGGGTTATATAAACAGGTGCATGCTCATTCTGTAGAAATGGTCAGAAATATTTCAATATGCTCACAAGTTTTAAAAATGACAACAGGTAAAACATTTTAAACCATGCGTTTTATTTTGTATAAATTATCAGTGTATAGTGGGTCACAGGAAATAAATAAAAGTCATTTTAAAATCCCAACTATGTTTAATTTCCAGCCATGGTGTTCATCTTAAAACTTCTGTAGTATGATCTGCAAAATCACATCTATGAATCTGTAATGTAACAAAGTCAGCCGATGAACAAAGGAAAAAGCATGTAAAAACATCCATTGCTTTTACTGAATTAAAGGCATGTTCAGCAGTTTCTTTGTTATTTCAAAGAGTAGCATCTGCTTCATTGGGCTCTGGGATCTGGTTTTTATGTATTTTTGTTTTTCTCTGGTGTTCTTTTCTTCTTCCTCTTCTCTCTCTCTCTCTCTCTCTCTCTCTCTCTCTCTCTTTTTTTTTAGGAAGTGTGTACATAGCCCTGAATCTCAAAGATAAGCATGTATGATCTTCCTATTCTCTGTTTAGTCCTCCACTTAAGTTTTATATGACAAAGAAAGTTTTAAAGGGTTAAAAGAATATCTTTTATTTTACCTCTGGCATGCCTTGAGCTGAGAAAGCATTATATGGTGGTACAATATTTGTAACATTCTTATATCCATCTGGTGGTGGCTCATAGTATGATGTTTTAAAAACCTAGCAAGCATTGAAACACATGAAGTTAGAAATTTTCTAGATTGCTAGTAAATAATGCATTTTGCCCTCAAGTATACAGTTAAGATAGAGTATCCTAAAACTAGGTTCTGTGATCAAATAGGTAAATTCCATTAGCAACAATGAAAAAGAGCTTTATCATTGTCATTGTCTTCAAAATAGTAGAAACTTCTGTAAATGCATGCAATTTCAGTAACTAAAAGTTCCCAGCTGAAGTATAAAAACAGGGCTTTGAAGGAGGCATTCTCATGAATCTCCTATTTCTTTCAGCTTTCTTTGAGGGCCCTTTTTCTTTCATCTGTATTTAAATAATATTTCCCTGTGTTTTATCCCCACCACAATGCTAGCCTCATTTCCTACTCCCTTCCTGTGAGATCTTACTGACTGTTAAAGTTTTATCCATACCTAATATATCTTTGATGCCCAGCTTTCCAGCTTCATATATGTAAGGGCCTGATGGGCATTTCAGCTGGCATGTCCAAGCTCAGCCATTAAACTGTGAATTTATCCTCTCTCACCCCAGGCCTGCTTCTGGCTCTGCATTGTGGCTCTGCATTTTCTGCTGTTATTGTTAGCATCACTCGCTAACCACCCACATGAGAAACCTAGGAATCAAATTGAACTCTCTCCTCACCTCCTTCCTCCAATCACTAATCAACACCTGCTAATACTGCTTCTAACTATTTCTTAAATCTACCCCTCTTCTTCATTCCTGCTAACATCCTCATTCAGGGCTTCATTGTTTTTACCTGCACTATTGTCTTAGACTCCAACTTGAACTCCTTGCCTTGTCTAGGTCTAGTGTGCAGACTGCTCGAACTATCTAAAATGTCTTGCTAGCCGCACCCTTCCTTGCTTAGGACTTGTCAGTGGTTTCCATTGACTGAGGTTGAATTCCTCATTGCTTAGGACAATGCATTAGTCCTTCTGTGACCTGTCCCTAAAACATATACAGTTGACCCTTGAAGAACACGGGTTTGAATGGCATGGGTCCACTTATGCGCAGATTTTTTTGACAAATAAATACAGCACCATAAATGTATTTTCTCTTGTAATTTTCTCAATAACATTTTCTTTTTTCATCTTTATTGTAAGAATATAGTATATAACACATATAACATACAAAACATGTGTTTATTGGCTGTTTCTGTTTTCAGTAAGGCTTCCAGTGAACATAGACTATTATTAAAGTTTTGGAGAATCAAAAGTTATACATGGATTGTAACTGGCGATCTTTAACCCATGTGGTCCAAGAGTCAACTGTATGCTGATTTTTCTCTTATCATGGCTCACTTTGTATTTTACACTCTTGAAATAAAGAAAATCTTTAAATTCCCCTAACAGCACTAAACTAGTATATGTCTCCAAGCTTTGTCAATATTTTCTCTTCTACCTAGAATTCTCTTATCTTGCTTTTTCATGGAATTAAGTAACCCTTTAGAATCTTTCATGATTCACATATCGACTCTTTCTGGAAGCCTTCCCTGAATTACAGGGTGATGTGGACCAAAAGAAAAGTTCTGTGGAAAGTAACCTCACAGGATGACCTGGTCATAAATTCCTAACTGGGCAGATCATGGTGGGTAGTCACACCCTAGTCATATAGCTTTTTTCCTTTAAAAAATGTTATTATTCCATTTAAATACAATGTTCATTTCTACATTTCTCCATAATCGTCTTTTGTAAAAGCGGTCATACAAATTTTAGTTAAAAAGTTTATCTTTGCTTAAAGCAAGGTCTGTCCTTTATTTCTGTGCATCTAGTTAACATACCTTTGAAATTACTACCCTCAAGAGAGAACATAATCTTGTTAATTTTCCTGAATTCAATCTCCATGTTTTCTCACACCTCCATGTAATCTTCCTTATGTTCCATTCTTAATTTCAAATGCATAAAAAGCTGCAGCCCATCATATGTTACCAATTAGGCTCATATAAACTCTTATAAAAATTTTGTACAGGTTTGGACGTTCTTACATCAGTGCTAGGCAAGTGGCCCTTTTCATTGTAGATAAAGAACCCTAATCATACTCTCTATAGCACTTACTGCGTTGATTTGAAATAAGTGTTCTAATGTCTGCCTCACCTTACTTAAGCAAAGTAACCATGTCCTAGTCTTCATTCTGGTCTCAGGACCTAACACTGTGCCTCACATAGTAAACACTGAATAATTAGTTTGCAGCTTACTAATTTTTCTAGAAAATGAATTCCATTGCACTATGAACAAATTTATTTTCATTTGACCCTGAGTTCCAATTCACATAAATAGGTGGAGCTATAAAGTATGAGAAGTACCAACAATTCTACATCACCTCAATTCCATGTTCATCCATGATTGATATGTAGTTGGCATTTGTCTCATTAGGGTAAGATAAGAGAACATCATAATGAACCAGCTGGGCTGAGTCCAGTCCAAATTTCTTCCACTGGGTTTGAATTTTCTCGGCAAGCAGTAAATTTTGTTCTGTTCCAGCCAGATGAGGGAGCTTTGTGAAAGAACTAAAATGAAATACAAGGGAGAGTTACAGACTACTATATTCAAATGATGTGCCTAAGAACTAGTCAAGATGTATTACTCATCCTTTAGGCATTTATCATTTCTATATAAGAGATATAAAGAAACTCACTAGCATTACCAATTTCTAGTGAGGGGGAGCAAAGTCTGCCACCCCAAACTTTTGAGATATTGATTATTTTAAGCTAGTTAAATAAAAATCTCAGAAGAAAACCTTTGCCTTCCCTCTTATGGACTAAAAGAATTTGGATACAGGACCTGCTCTAGGAAGGGAGATATCATAGATGACTATAGTGTGATATATGAACTAAGTGTAACAAACAGGGAGGAACATAGCAAAGCCCATTTGAGTGTCCCACTGTTAAAGAGAGCCCAGAAAACATGTCTTACCAAACGTTTGCTTTTTCACTTCCATGTGAATTGCCTTCCTGCCCTTTGAAGTCTGAAACCACAAACACCCCTTCTCCTTAGCTCGAGTGGACTATGACCCTTCACTGTCTGATCTGTGCTCAGCCCCCATAGTCTAATGGAACTCTCACGTATGTATATGTATTAAATTTGGTTATTTTTTCCTGTTAATCTGCCTGTTAGTTTGATTATTAATCCAATCAGAAGACCTTGGAAAAAAGTAGGAAGTAGGAAGAAAATTTATTTTTCTGCCCTAACCCAGTTTTTAAATGTTTGTGCATAACTGTAGTTTTCACATATGCTCCCCTGGAAAAGAATGTATTCCATGGTAAATACGCCCCATCAGCAGAGGCCCAGGTATGAGAAAACGCCCTGGACAAACACCCCTCTAACACCAATGGCATGCCTTCTTGCTGCTCAAATGACAGGGGGCATTTTGGGGAAAAAATGCCAGAAACCAATTGGGAAGTCTATTTAACATATATGTCTACTGTTGTTTTATTATATTGTACGCAATTATTTATCTCATGAAAGATAAAGTCCAGCAAGCTTCAGGATGCTTGGGGAACTCACTTCGCTGCTTTTACGCTTCTCTGTCTTCAGGGTTCTTACGATGATTTTTTTTTTTTGTCTCTGGCCCTATCCTTTCTTTCTTTCTTTTTTTTTAAATAAACATTTTTTAAATTGTCGTTCAAGTACAGTTTTCTGCCTTCTCCTTCCGCCCTCCCCCACCCCATTCCCCACCACCCCAACCTCCAGCCTGGCCTGGCCCTATCCTTTCTTTTAAAAGGAAAACTTTACTGCTGTTTCCTGTTTCCCCTTGGAGAAGAGGATTAAAATTTCCAAGAACTGGTGCTGCCCGTGCAGCTCGAGCTCTGGGACTGCGTTTGCAGACCAGGTTCTAGTCCCACTGTGTGCACCAGCGAAGTTTACCAGCAAAGCCCCGCAGCTCCCGCAGTACGCGGAGTCCTTTGTGAACAACGCTCGAAGACCTAGAGGTGTGCAGGCAGATCCGGGATGCTGACCTGGAAGCCATCGGGGTGCTGGCCCCCGGCATACCGCCACTGTACCCAGCAAGCCGCGCCCGGCTACAGAAGCAAGGCACTGCTGTCACCTACACGGGAGTCACAGCCACAGCTGGTGCTGCCCAGACCACCTGCGATCCTCCTCCCCAACAGCCATTGCACAGTGCCGCGTAGAGGGGGCGGGGCCGGGGGCTGGGCCCAGGGCACCGCGGAAACCCCTGCAGCCAGAGGACTGCCCCTCACAGCAGGGAGCTGGTGAGCTACCCCGTGCTCCAGCTGAAGATCATGATCAGGGATCAGCTCGCCCACGACAGCATCCACCTGAGCAAGCTCCCACACTCCCGCCAGGTCCCAACTGTTGGCATTCTGGAGTATTTAATGAATTGACCGAAGCCATCACAGAACTGATGGATATCATTTCTGAGAACTCGTGGAGGTCTGACGAGGTGCCTAAAGACTGGAAAAGGGCATATTGAGGAACTTCTTTCAAAAAGGGAAATGATGGTGACCCTGAAAATACTCATCAGCTTAACTTTTTGCTTGGAAAAATTCTGGAATAATCAGTACACTGGGTGACTAACTTACAATAACTAGAAAGGAGGCAGTGAAATATTACACATTAACAAGTACTGAGTTCATTTTTAAAGGACACATCATTGTGAGATACGGTCTTATGTGTATTTTGGGGTTCTTCCCTCTATTTTATGAGCTCTTGATGAAAATAAATGAGATTGGCTAAGGTTTGGGGGTTTAATAAATTTTAAGTGTAATACCAAACCACAGGTTTCTGGCATTAGCCAGTAATTACATTATTTTTAAATTAACCTTTAACTTAATAATAATAGCTTTAACTTTGTATTTTAACCTATTTTTTCCACTTTATATAGGACTGTGTTTTCATAGGTTGAGATAGTTTATATAATTTTATAATGAATAGTTTGGTGAAGGAATTCTTATTTTAAGGTATTTTACATAATCATTTCACATATACGTCCATTTATAAAGCTGATACATTAAGGAACATTGACCAAAGGAGGCAACTTTCTAACTTTTCTTTTTAAATGTAATCTGGCTGAAGTCTGGTGTAAGGACCAATAACACAGTTTTGTGCTGATACACACTGGGCAGGAGCCAACCATGGCCCTTGGGGCAGGTTTTCCTCACAGTGGGCACTGCCAGGGCCAGTGCAGAGCCTCACCCCACCTTGCTCCTGGCATCTGGCTTCAAGTCCATGGGGGCAGGGATGTGGGCAGTGGCCCTGAGCTTTAGGAGACTGCAGCTGATCTGAGAGATACAAACATTTTTCTTAAATATTGTTACACATTGCATTTGTATGTGACTAATGTTAAGCCATAACATTCAATCTTCTCATGACCTTGAACCTATGCATCCAATATATGTAACAATAATTAAGAAAAGAGTTTGTTTGTATCTCTCAGATCAGCAGTGACCTCTCCCAGGTTCAGAACTTGGTCTAACCACAGCCAGAAAGGAGAGTGGCGTGAGGTGGGAGGAGGAAATTAAAATGACTGGAGTTTTTCTGATTCCTATTGTTCTTGCCTTTGGCTATTGGCAGTTTTACTTTCTGCTGAGAAAAAAGCAACCATGTTGACAAGACCAAAAATTTGGTTACAAGGAGATCATCAGAAAAGATATCATATCTACAACAAGCTCCTGAGTCAGGCAGCTTCTGAGAGTAGCTGGGCAGTATTGTACTGCAGAATCTTTTCTGTGCTGCCGAGAAGTATGTGAGGGATGTAAGTTTACCCCAGTGTTGTGAAGCTCAAGACCTGGGAACACTCAATAGGGAAAGACATCTACATTCATTTCTTCCTCGTGCATGCTGGTCCCTAGGCATGCGGAGGCAGGTAAGGTCTCCGAGGGTGATTTGATTACCACGCTGCTTTAAAAATCCAAGGTTTACATGGTTTAGCTACTTCTAGCGGTTAATTTAGGTACTAGATAAACCTCAGTCTCATTCTTAATGTAAATTCAAGGAAATTAAGCTCTAAAAGCATGTACATGTTGTCCTTTAAATATACATAGCTTGCAGTTTTGTGAGGATTATCCTCCAATCAAACTTTATCTTTTCTAGTGACCTAGAGTCTTTAAAATTAACAAGACATATTTTTTAAAGATTGTATGGAGGAGGGTCTGTATAGATTATAGATACAATTTATTTTTATAACAAATGGATTCCTGTTAGAGACCTCATTTCCAGGTGTAGCATCTGTGGCAGATATATTTCACAGATGTACATTTGCGTGCATTTGTTGAACTGTTGCTAGAAGGGCCCCCATTTCTGAAAAATCTATTATTTTCACCATGGGCATTATATGTAATCTAATGCAAGCAAGATGAAGTAAGAGTTAGACTATAAGAGAAAAGCAGTAGTCTTGCCATGAGTTGCATCTGGTAATAATTATTCTTTAAAAGAGTCATTTTTTCAGTGTTTTTCTTTTATCTAGCATTCATGATATTCTTAAATTTTTTTAGATCTTATTTATTTATTTTTAGAGAGAAGGGAAGGGAAAGAGAAAGAGAGGAGGAGACACATCACTGTGTGGTTGCGTCTCACATGTCCCCTACTGGGGACCTGGCCTGTAACCAAAGCATGTGCCCTGACTGGGAATCGAACCGGTGACCCTTTGGTTCGCAGGCCAGCACTCAATCCACTGATATTCTTAATTTTTAATGTAAAGGAAGTAGTTGAGGGACAAATACATTATTAAAATTAAAAAATAGATAAAGTCCATGAATTTCTAGTTTTATATTTCCTCACACTTAGTTCCTGCCTGTTATCTAAGAATTACACAACAGAGGTTTGTTGAATTGAATCTGGGCAATGTTCTCTTAGTTCTGGGTTTAAATGATTTGAAACATTTAAGTTACTTCACAAACCTGGTCATTAATTCATTAATGAGATATACTTTGTTCAAGGTAAATATTTTAAAAGTTTCCCAATCCTCTTCCCCCTATCAGTAGAGCAATAATACTTTTGTAAATTTGTTTTCTAGTCAACCATAGAACAGAAGAAGGAGAAGGAGAAGGAGAAGGAGAAGGAGAAGGAGAAGAAGAAGGGAAGGGGGAGGGGTAGAGGGAGGGGGATTATTAACATTCATGGAATGCTCACTATATGCTAGAAACTTGACCAGGTGTTTTCACATGGGTTATCTCATTTAATCCTCACACCCCTTCTTCCACTCTTCCCATTCTGAAAATGAGGGAAAAGAGCCCTGGCTAGTGTGGCTCAGTGGACTGAGCACTGGCCTACAAATCTAAGGGTTGGTGGTTTGATTCCCAGTCAGGGCACATTGCCTGGGTTGTAGGCCACGTCCCAGTTGGGAGTGTGCAAGAGGCAGCTGATTAAGAGTACTTAAAGAACTTGTTCACAATTCCATAACTATTGAATACCAGGACTAGAATCTGAAGGTTGTAGTTGTTTCACCTTGAAAAACTGATTATTTTAAAAACATTTATCTGGTCATATTTTTCAATTGCTTAAAATCCTCTGGCCCCCTACCCTTGCATTTATTAATTAGTTCATACTC